TGAGCCGGCAGTCAGCACAGAGCCTGACGCGGGGCTCGAACCCACGAACCGCGAGATCATGACCTAAGCGAAAGTCGGACGCTTAACCGACTAAGCCACCCAGGCGCCCCTGAATGTTTTCAAAATAAAGGAGATGACAGTAAATACTGTTTAATGGTAGGTAATTATTTCAGGGAAAGGTACCGAGTGTTTTGACTAAAAGGGTCAAGGTATTTACGTAAGGAATTAAATATACTTTCATTTCAAATTTAACTGTAAGTTTAGCTTAGGGCCAGTAGGTTTTTAAAGCATTCTCTTGGTTAATTTACGTAGGTTTATAGAACTTCTTTGATATGTGTGTGTTTGAGAAAGAAAACAGGAGCCAAAAGTATAGATATTAAAAAAATATATATATCCCTTTAAAGAAAGTTGCAACACAAATTACAAGGCATCCAAAACTGAGCAAGTTTACCATGTCTTCTGGTTCAGGAATACTGATGCCATGGAAAAACTGGTTACTTTTGAAGATAGATTGGTGTCTTGGGATTAGTTTTCCTGTAAAATACAAACCATGAAACAAACGCATGATAAATTTTATTAAGGTAAAATTGTCTAAATGGTTAAGTTCTGAGGTCCAGATCAAATGGTTACTACTGAGCCTGATGGCTCCTTTCAGATTTGGGAGACATGAACCGCTGCAAAATCACGCCTTCTCAGGGGAGGTCAGTTCTGAGCACCTCTCTGTGCCCTTCATCTCCCACCAAGAGAGGAAGTAAGAAACCCGGGCTGAGGGCTTTCCACACACGATCTCATAACCATCTCACAGCAGTTGCTATTTTTCATCTCCACTGCACCAGTGAGGAAAACAAGGCTCAGAAGTTTAATAACCTGGGGTGCCTAGGTGGCTGTTGGTTGAGAGTCTGACTCTTGGTTTTGGCTCAGGTCAAGATCTCTCAGTTTGTGGGATCGAGCTTCACATGGGGCTCTTTGCTGACAGCGCGGAGCCTGCTTGGGATTCCCTCTCACCCTCTCTCTCTGCCACTCTCCTGCTTGCGCGCATGCACTCTCTCTCAAAATAAATAAACTTACAAAGAATAAGAAGTTTAATAACCTGTCTAAAGTGACATGGTCAGTAAAAGACAGACCCCTGAGTCAAACCCAGGTCTGTCCAATGACTGCTTAATGTAAATTTCTACAGTCCTTTCAGGAAATCGGTCAGACAATATATCCCTAAGGTGTGGCCTCTGGTGACACTCTACCCCACATTGTTCATGCTGTAGAATTCTCCAGCAGATCATGTTGGAACCAAACAGGGACCTGCATCAGACCACACAGCAGCGGTTCCATCGCTCAGAGCCTATGGAAAGGAACACAGAAACACCCATCCTGTGTGTAGATGTAGTGCTTGCCTTGCGTCCACACGGCTGGTGTGAAAAGCTGCAGCTAACCTTCTGGGTTATGTCCTCTTCCGACTGCCACGGATGCTGACACGTGGTGGAAGCCTGTGAATGAGGCCCCTTGAGTCGCATTCTTATTCTGCACTTAACTGTTGTTAAGTGGAAGCTCCCGGGGCCTCAGTTTCCGCATTTGTAACACAGGCACAATTAAAAATGTATAATGTCCTAAACGGGTTTTTCTTAAGACTGGTAAAGATGACGTGTTTGAAAGTAATTCGTAAATTCTTTTTTTTAATGTTTATTTATTTATTTTGAGAGGGAAAGAGCTGGGGAGGGGCAGAGAGAGAGAAAAGGAGAGAGGGATTCCCAAGCAGGCTCTGTGCTGTCAGCGCAGAGACCGATGAGAGCGCAATGAGGGGTCTCGATCTCGTGAACAGTGAGATTGTGACCTGGGTTGAAACCAAGAGTTAGATGCTTACCTGACTGAGCCACCCAGGCGCAATCCGTAAATTCTTCAGTGCTATACAAAGGAGCAGAGTTAAGGAGTTGCAATGGAGATGGTAGAGTCTATAAAACCTAAAATAGTTACCACTGGGCCCTTTACAGAAAAGTCTGCTGACCCCTGCTCTGCAGTGAAGGGCGAAGACTCCTCTCGTACAGCAGGCAGACATTACATTTGATCAAATCTGTCTTAGAGTAAGCTCTATGCAGATGACTCATATCCTTGTCCCTATCTTAGCCTGATGTGGAAAGTAAGCGTGTGGTTTATTCCACAGCTAATTGACTTGACTTGGAAAGGAATCTGAACACTCCTCGGTGTGAGGAGTTATGGCTCCACATTGAGAAAACGGTTGGGCTTTGGCTACGATCCAGAACAAGCATCCTGAGCAGCACTCTGGAGAAGCAAGAAAGCTCTTGTTCCTTACAGTAATGGACTATTGCTATAACAACTTAGCAACTCCGTAAGCCATAAAATGTCACTCATACCCAGTGTTCTGATGATCAGATACAGCTGGTCCACATCGGATTTTCCAGGCCACAGTGGCTGGCCGGTCAGAAGCTCTGCAAAAACGCAACCAGTAGCCCATATGTCTACTGAGGAACCATACTGCGTGTCTCCCACCAGAAGTTCAGGAGCTCGGTACCATCTTGTAGCGACGTAATCAGTGTAGGCATCTCCTGGAACTGCAAACACGTCAGTCAGATCCGGTGGGTCACGTTCTTGTAACACATGAACTACTCCCAAGAGTAGATCAGATGGTCAGGCAAGCTTCAGTAACTCGGAGGCCACAGTACTCCTAACTGTTGATGCGTGAGGCACTAAACAGTTCCACTGTGCACTGTGTACACAGACAGTAAATTCAACTCCCAGGGGGTCCATCAGCTGGTTAGCATCTACATAATCCCACCCAGAAAGGCAGGTGGGAATGAGGATTTCTGTAGTGCAACTTCAGGTTGAAACTAACTTCCAAGTGCATTGTGAAGCCACCTGTGTCTGGTCCTATCAGGATACTGACTATGAACACACCTGCCTTGCAGTGAGTCGTTGCAAACACAGGTCTTGCCTGCCGTACGGTTCTAGATTCAGGGAGAAATAATGATCTGTCCCCCCTTCCCTTTGGTTACCTCCACCCCCATGAGTGGGATGACTTCCTTTTTCTTAGCACTGTCTCTGAATCCTCTCCTTAATTTTCCATTTACTCTTCTAGTCTTACCAACTACACAGGTCATTCCTGACCCCTCTAGCACACGGGGAATCTCCCTCAGGGAACCATCTGGACCCTCAGTTTGGTATTTCTTGGTGAATCATTTGGTATTATTCTTTTGTTCCTTTTACTTCAGATTATAAGTGCCTGAAGAACAGAAATGCATCTTATAATTCTTTTCCTCTCCTCTACAAGGCAAAGCACATACATGTGACATCCAGCAAATTCTAGAGGAGTGGAGCACAGGTGAAGTGCAAACCCATGTCTTGGTTAGAAGATAAAAGTGAACTCTTCCTCTTTGCATAATAATAACATCACATTTAGCATACATTCAGTATCTAAAGTAAGACCTTAATATCGTTTCATAATCGTCTGAATTAGACGAGTCCATAAAAAATTGCTACTTACGGGGCACCTGGGTGGCTCAGTTGTTTAAGCTTCTGACTCTTGATGTGGGCTCAGGTCATCATCTCACGGTTTGTGAGTTTGAGCCCCACCTAGGGCTCTGTGCTGACAGTAAAGATCCTACTTGGGATCCTCTCTCTCTCCCTCCCCCCCCTCACCTTCTTCTCTTTCCCTCCCCTGTCTCTCAAAATAAATAAACTTTAAAAAAAATTGCTACTTACTGAGAATTCGTGCAAACCCAAAGTCACAGATCTTGATTATTCCTTGCTTAGTTATTAGAATATTTTCAGGTTTTACATCTCTGTGAATACACTGTAAGATAACACTGGATCATTTCTCTGAGCCATCAAAATGACAAAGCATAATAAACATGAACTATTAGTTTAAATGATAAACACAGCCTATGCAATTAAAACAAATATGCTTTTCCTTTATTTTTCTAAAAAAACTTTAATTGGTTAATTTTCACTTGAAAATCCTATCACACCAAAAGAAAGAAGTCAAAGTGCTGCTATATAAGTGAAGAAGTTGAAATTATATTTGTTAGATATGAAAACTGGTGTATTTTTTTAAGAAGGTGATGTCACACAAGTATTTCTTCTACTTTTCACTGTGCTCTACTTAAACTATAAGAGCTAAAGTCCTAGATGAGATAGACTCAAAGTAGCTCTGATAACTGCTGCGATCCAAGAATCACAATCTAGGCTGAATAAGTATTGCAGATTTGAGGCACTGCGAAAAGATTTGAATGATAACCAAAAAAAATCGCTTAAAAATTGGCTTGTAATTAGAGTGACCATGTTATTGATTGCCCGAATCAGGATGTGTGAAAGGGGCCCTGTTAGTAGTTATGCCAGGACAGCAGGAACAAGCCACAACTATCCTGGGAAAGCTGAGCTGTGCGGTCACCTACTTCTGGAGGGGCACGGAAGCCTTCGGCATCAGGGCCCGAGGGCCACTTACTCATCCTGGGCGGTGAGCTAAGCTGGAAGGATCAGCAGCTCTCCTGAGAGATGCCCACACAGCGCAGTCCGGGCCCCCGCCGGGAGAGCAGGACACCACCGTGAGGCATTCTCACCTCCGAGAGGCTCCCACTCTTTCTCTAGGGGCAGACACCTTACAGTTGGCTGTCTCTCTGTGATGGCCCTCAGTGGGGCAGGTGCTCCTGGCTGGACGTATGAGGGCTAAGCTGGGTAAGGGTGAAGGCGGGCTGAGTGAGCCTCACTCATCGCTATTCCAGAACTGGCTGTTCATGTTATGGAGCGCCCCCACCCCACCCCCAACACAACCTGGGCTCTATTCTTCAGAGCTTTATCTTTCCGTGCCTCCCTCCCAAACAAGCAACCAGATGGAAATGATGTTCGTCTTCTTCTACAGCTCTGCCCACATACAGAGCTCTGTCCTTTACAGAGCCCTTGCACTTGAATGCACGATTTCATTCCTGCAACAATCTTGTGACTGCAGGTGGCCACCGACAGGGTCTCTGGATTAAGTGTCACAATCATCCTGTCCTTCTGCCTCACTTCTCTGCTGGGCTGTCACTCCCTTTATACAGTCCTGCCAAAATGACGATTCTGCAATAATTTTTCTTTGCTTCGATGGTAGCTATCTGGGAAGAGAAAAAGCTGAGTCCTAAATTCATTTTAGGCCACAAAAATGGCAGTGGTAGTAGAAGCTGGTTCCTATCTAGTCTCAATTATTATCAATTGTCTCATCATTTGTATGACTAACAGAAGGAATTTCTAGGTCTCTTTAAAGTCCTAAGGCCTTAGATATTAATTTAAAGAAATATATTGCTATAATATAAATCAATATAGTTTTGACGTCTGACCTCTTAAGCAACCCATTTATGAAACTCGAATTAACCCTGAGTCACGCTCACACTAGTTGGTGAGTTATTAGGAATAGGTTATGTCCCTCAAAAGACTTTGTATCAAATTCTAAAATTTCTGGACTCTGTGTGGCATTACCGAGCAAATGGGCTCACACTGACACTTGACTTTTGGCCTATCTAAATATGATTTTTGGATCTAATGCAAATCCATGTGAAATGTTTAGCCATTTATTTTCCAAACAAAAAATACAAAGGCAAAAACAAAGTACCGATGTGTCCCAAAGAAGAAAAATTATTGGCGTAGGTGCAGGCAAGAGAGACCACCAATAGAGAGGAATAGGATGCCGAAGAATGAAAAAGAGTGAACGTCCGTGGAACAGTAAAGAGTCCAGCACAGAGAATGGGAGACGCTTAGGCAGACACCTTCCTTGCTGCAAAGTCACACTCAGCACAGACTCTGCAGGCCTCTTGCTAGCACTTTACTTTCCACCAAAGAGCAAGAAACCTGCCCATCAGTGTGACAGAAGCAGTCCCTTTTAGTAACTTGGGTTGCATGCATGGCTTTTAGAAAATGTTGCTCAAGTTGGGTCACTGTGGCTAATGTATCATCTCCTTTTTCCTGGCTCACAAGCCAACAAGAAGAGGTATCCATCACCCTCGATGTTAAGAATCATCTCCAGAAACTTCCACAAATTACTTCTTATATAACCTGATTGAACAATGGTTTTCTTTTTTGGTTGTTGTTGAAAGATTTTGTTTTTTAAGTAATCACTACACCCAATGTGGGACTCGGACTCCTGACCCTCATGAGATCAAGAGTCACATGCTCCACTGACTGAGCCAGCCAGATGCCCCTAAATAGTACTTTTTGGGGCACTGGCGTGGCTCAGTCTGTGGAGCGTCCAACTCTTGACTTGGGCTCAGGTCCCGATCTCAGGGTTGAGCCCCCACTTCGGGCTCTGTGATGAGTGTGAAGCCTGCTTAGGATTCTCTCTCTCTCTCTCTCTCTCTCTCAAAAAGAGTTTACTATTATCTGAGAAGGGTGTTCTCTTTGAGCTTTAGAGACGGATACTGATACAACAGTGAGGAAAGGACCTCCTTCTTGACAACGAGAACGTTAATATTAACAAAATGATGATGGTGGCAGCAGCCTGAAACACCCGTATCTTTGGAAGTCACTATAGTTTTCTCATTCTGAGATGCAGTTCTTTTTGTCCGTTATATCAAGTGTATAAAAATCCATGCATTCATAATGATGCTAAAATGGGTCACTTAGATAACTTATTCTAGCAATATTAAAGGCTAAGAAAGAAGAAAATGAGTAGGTATTTTCTTAAGTCCAGTGCTTCTCAAAATTTAATGTGTACACGAATCTCCTGGAGACCTTGTTAAAATGCAGATTCTGAGTCAGTAGATCTAGGGTGGGCCTGCGATTCTGTATTGCTAATGCGCTCCTAAGATGATCTCTCTGAACCACACTTTGAGTAACAAAGCCTTAATCCCTTACTACTTTAACCTTCCTTTTCTTGGTTAGGATCACCACTCTGGAGATAATAAGGTGGTCATGGTCTCCACAGGTTGAAAGCTGTGAATTTTCAGCAACACCACTGGGTCAGATTGTCTTTTTTATTCTTTGAGAATAGCATGAGGGTTCCTTTAAAAATAAGGAGAGGATAAAGGTTTCATATGGAGCATTGTAACAGCCTCTATATGACCTAACTTTTTCCTTTGCATGCATTTCAGCAAGAGATAAAATAAAAAGATACACAAAGGCTTACCAGTGCATAAGAAAATGAGATAAACGGAGTTCAGAAGTAATTCCTGTGTTGGAGGAGGGAAGTTTGTCTGAAAAGTTATCCAATTTTAATACAGGTCATAGATTTGGGCGCCTGGGTAGCTCAGTCAGTTAAGCATCTGACTCTTGATTTCAGCTCAGGTTATAATCTCACAGTTCGTGGGTTCAAGCTGTGCGTCAGGCTCTGGGCTGACAGTGTGGAGCCTGTTTGGGATTCTCTCTCTCCCTCTCTCTGTCCCTCCCCATTTGCGCATTCTCTTTTTTTCTCTCTCTCTCTCAAGATAAATAAATAAACATTAAAAAATAAAGGTCATAGATTATCAGTTGGAGGTTTTAAAGCTTAAAATACAGAACATGTTGTTCCAAATGACGGCGGTTGAATTGAGTTATAATAAGTTTAGGTCTGTGAAATAGTAAGTCCACAATCATGTCGGTAAGTTGACTGACTGACTGACTGACTACCTGATTCATTCATTCATTCATTCATCCAGTTATTCAATAAATATTTATTGAGTGAGAACCTTTTATATAAAAAGACCCAGGCTAGGTATTAAAGAGCTACAAAGATAAAATCAGCCCAGATACTGCATTCTGCAGTACTAGGCCTATAACCTAGTACACAGGAAAGTGCCTGATAATATAATGGTGAAGGACAAACACTTATGGTAAATAGAATTTTTAAAAAATCATTTTAACTACCCATAAGCCTCCTACAGGAACCTTAGGTAAACTGTAATACCTCTGATAGCATGATGGAAAGCAATAGAGATGTGGTTTTGATTCAGCATCACCTTTAGTAAGTATTTGAAAGCACAATTTGCATCATGAAGAACAGGCGTATGTATCTTGTGAATACTCTCTCTCTATAATTTCTTAATAGAAAATATAAGCTTCCTAATGAACTCTTCATTGACTTTCTTACAACTAAAGGAAGCTTTCCCTAAGTAGTGAAATTTATTTCCATGATTTTGCATTGTTTTCCAGCAATCCTAGACAATGATAGACATTCTGCTGCCATTAAATTGACCAGATGGCAGTCTATATCTTCGCGCAGGCACTGCCTCTGTCTAGGCACCAACTCAAAAGGTCTAGAGTTATTTTTTAAAAATGATCATTATAGCAAAAGCCCCCAGAAGCCAACTTAAAGAAGCTTCAATTAAATTGGCCCAAGATGGGACAATTTGAACATCAGAGAGAATGATGATAGCAAAGGATTGAAACACATCAAATATATAAAATCCATAAATTTGTAATGATGCCTACATTCCCCTCAAACCCTTCATTGTTCACTCTAGGAGGTTGTTAACAGACTAACTTATTGACAAGTAAAGGAAATAATAACATCTTTATCTGACTGTATTTTACAGTAGCCAGAGTCTATGAGGGTAGGTTGTCTCCATGGAATTTGAATGAACAAATGCAGAAGAAATAATAGAATCCAAAAATCACCATCTTTTAACTCTAATGAAATACTGGATATAGGCAATAATCATCAATGGATGCTAAGACCATCAAGTAAAGTTTGACCAGGAAATTAATGATGGAGGGGATCCTGAACACACTAATCTCATTTAAGAAGATCAAAAGTGGGGCAAGCTGACATATGCCTCGTGACGTTGAGGCAAGAAGATATGTACAGCACTACATGTGAAATATTCTTGTCTAAAACCCTAAACCAGAATGATCAAACCTCCGGACACAAATCCCAATTAACCGCAAATACAAGTGAGAGCGAACATGTTAAATGACACACAGAAAGCAATCAGCTGAAATGGTTTCTAGAACAGGAGTGTTCAGAGAGTGTTTCTTGGACCAGCAGCTTCAGTTCTAACTGGGCAAGTGTTAGGAAGGCAAATTCTCAGGGTCCTACCCTGGACCTATGGAATCAGAAACTTGGGGTGAGTCCAGAAAACGGTCTTCAGACCTCCAGGGGGGTTGGTACATGCTCAAGTTTGAAAACTGTGGGTGTAAAAAACTAATGATGAAAACATGTTAGGAAAATGATAGAGGAAAGGGGACTGATAGAGAAAAAAAGACTCAAGAAACATAAAGGCAAAATCAAACCAAGTGCCATGGAGGTGTGTGTGTTACATATCCCGCAAACGTTTTTCACCCAATTTAAAGATGATCACAGGAATCATCCATAGGATAGCAAAAGGAACATCAAGATTATACAAACTTTTACTTCATAAAGAATTAATATTTTGGTTCTTACAGAAATTGAGAAAAAAAGCCATGACTTGATTCTCACATATTCTTTAGCTTTCTTCCTTTCCCTCCATCTTTAACTCTTTAAATAGATCCTTGAAGTGTTAAGAATAAATTAACAGGGGCACCTGGGTGGCTCAGTTGGTTAAGCGTCTGACTTCGGCTCAGGTCATGAGCTCATGGTTCGTGGGTTCAAGCCCTGCGTCGACCTCTGTGCTGACAGCTAGCTCAGAGCCTGGAGCCTGCTTCAGATTCTGTATCTCCCTCTCTCTCTGACCCTCCCCTGCTCCTGCTGTCTCTCTCTCTCAGAAATAAATAAATCATTAAAAATTTTTTTTAAAAAAAGAAGAAATTAACAAATATAGGAGAAAATGTTACTTACGTTATGTTTGTGACAGAAATTAAGAGCTTGAAGTGTTTGCCATAATATACTTTTGATCATTCCATCAGCAACTCTGGAAGAGGGGAAAGAAAATTAAAAAGGAGTTGAAAATTTCAAAGATGAAGTGTCAGGGCCAAGAGCTGGGAACAGAAATGGAAGCGTGCAGTTTGTCATGGCCAACAAACAGGGTGCAAAGAGTGTTGGAAATATATTTCCTTAATGCATTAATGAAAACCCCTTTACTGTATCTTCATTATAGATATATAATTCTCTTTTGTAATTTAAAAGCTTTAGATCTGCAAAAATGATACATGCTTATCACAAAAATCCAAACACTACAGACAAGCAAAGGAATAGAAAGTGTTGACCCAAAACTTGCTACCCCAAACTAATTGCTGGAGTGCACAGGCATCTGTATTTCTTCAGGCATCTCTGTTTCTCTCTCTGTCTCTCTTTGCATTTACTTTATATTTTTTTATTTTTATTTTTCATTTTTTATTTTTATTTTTGAGACAGAGAGAGCAGGGGAGGGGCAGAGAGAGAGGGAGACAGAGGATCCGAAGCAGGCTCTGTGCTAACAGCAGAGAGCCCAATGTGGGGCTTGAACCCACGAACCATGAGATCATGACCTGAGCTGAAGTCGGACGCTTAAACAACTGAGCCACCCAGGTGCCCCTGCATTTACTTTTTAATTTTAATTTTAAATATATGTGTTCATATGGCTCAAAATTTGAAGAGTATAAAAGTACCATGACAAAATCTCTCTCATACCTGGCTAGTCGTACCTTTCATCTTCTGCAATTCCCCCCACCTCTTTCAGAAACATTTTATCCACAGTGGTACAAATACTAATATGTTTACTCCTATTCATGGTCTCATTATACAGAGGCATCATAGTTTAGTTATTTAGTTTCCACTGGTGAGCAATTAGGTTGACCCAATTTTATTCCTAGAAACATTTCAATGAACATCTGTAATCATCTTTTTAAGGGAAGTTCTAGAAGTGGGATTTCTAGGACTAATGGTGGGCACAAGCTACATTCTGATCCTGCAGGTATAAACTGCAGGAGGAAGGGCATACTGGAGGACTGGCTTCCGCAGGTTTGCTGGTACACACACTCAAACACGTGCTACAGTTGTTTTGTAAGTTTCGTGCACCTGATCAGCAGGCAGGTCCCCAGCCAGGGGAAGCCAGGGAGGACACAGTTCCCATGAGGATGGAAGGCTGGATGCTTCTTGTCCCTGCAGAAGCCTGGAAACACTGGAAGGTATTTTTCCATCGCGGAATTGGGGATCTGGGCAACTCACACTCAATCTGGGACAAGTCTACTCGTGTAACCATCTCTATGAATGATAGCAATTACATTCCCCTTAACTTTCTGCTGACATTTTGCCATTGCTCACATCACTGTCCCCATGAAGATGCTTTCAGTTACACACTTCCAAGCTACCTTCTCTAAGGAAGAAGTGTAGGGCTAACTAGTTTCTCAGTTAATTAACGGAGAAAGAGTTATCTATGCCTCAAGAATTGAAAGGTGACTCTCGGAAGTATTCCTATAACTAAAAGCACCCCAATTCCCACCAAACACCCCGTGTCATGCAGAGTAGCCCCCAGACTGTAGGAGGAGGCTGGTTTTGCCTTGCCAGGAACGCTCTCGTGCTCTCACTTGAGGCAGGTGCATGGCTTGGGGATGGCAGTTCTTCTCAAGGCTCCTCTCCCCATCACCACCTCTCAGGGTCTCCAAACCTCAACTAAAGTCAGATTTCAGCATGTCCCAGGGGGCCTATTACAAAGTCCAACAGAGGAAAATGTCTGCACAGCAAAAAAGAACTATAAGATGTTGCTAATTTACAGTGGGGAATGTATGTGAAAATGGATTTCATTGACGTAGGGCCAGAGAGGAAGAATCGTAATTTTAGACTGGGTTGATTATAACACTATGGGCAAACTTACTAGAGATTCTAGTTTCAACAGACTACCCAGAGCAGCAAGGAGTGAGTCTAGTTGATTACTAAATTGGTTGATGGAAACCTGGACTAAATGGATGCCTACGGCAATTGAAGTTGACTGCCAGAAATTCATTAGTAAAATGAGGAGGAGGCGATCTAAAGATCTGAGGAGACAGGAGGGTTGGAGAGGATTCTGCATATGCAACATGCTCATCTACCTCCCAACGTGTCTCCTCAAAGTATATAATGGTAGCACCAATCTATGCTCTTCCCCAAACACGCAGTACAGCTTTCAGTTTTTTATTTTGGTAAAGAAGAGGACTACCAGTTCCTTCTACTAGGCTCTTCCTCCCACAAGAGTTTTCATTCCTTGGATCAGAGCCAACTGGCTCTTTTTCCATTCGTTACTACATCTATTTCAACCATCCAGTTAGGAAATGGGGAAATAATCCCAAGGATGGATCTGTGGACCTACTAGGATGATTGTGGGATGGATTTGAGTCAAGATTTCATTTACTACCAGACCTAATGCTTCATGCTCCCCATTCCCCCACAACTGATGACCCACAGTGGCTTTCACGGCTACTGGGGACTGGTTTTACCTCAGAGTGTTTTCAGTAATTCCTGAAAGATAGGGTATTTCTCTTTTCCCAGTGCACCGCTGTCCTGTAAATGGCTGCAGACTACGTTGGGGCAGGCTAAGAGGAAGAGTTAAGTACATATGTGTGATGTCATTGTAGGGCTATGCCTAAAGAATGGCCGTCTTCCCTTTACTCACAGGCCCTGGGTCTGTGAACTGGCTATTGTGGTGACTCAAGTCAAGCCTCTAGTCCCCCGTTTTTATAGAACAAACAGAACTTTAGTGATCTGCCCATCTATTTTTGTTTGGGAGAACCTATGATCAATTAAAGAATTTTGATCATCACTATGGCTCTGTTGCCTATTTCAGCAATTCCGGAAATGAAGCTTGACTGCTTGGTTTCTGTCATCCAGGGATCCCATCATCCCCACTAAAATCAGGAAGCCATTTCAAAGAAAGGATCTCCCCACTTCACAATCTGGGACATGACACTGGTGTAACCCTCACTAATGTATTTCTCAGTACTCATGATTCACTGCTATCTTCCCACCAGACCACACCCAGTCTCGTGCGAATTTTTCTATGGACAGTTAACTGAGAAAGAGAAAGAAATTCAAACTTTTATATGTCACTTATATCTCAATAAAGCTAAAATTGAAAAAAAAAAAAAAAAGAAATTGAGGCCAGATTTACGGATGTACATAATATGCTACTGTCAGCCAGAAGTGGGGTGGACAGCCATAGTTTTATAAACCCATTAGTAGTTTAATAACATATAATCATTTATAATTTTTCGTTTGTATTTCTGATTCCTCATTAGATTTCAAGCTTCTTGAAGGCAGGGTTACTCCATTATACATAACACAATGGGAAAGAAAATCCTTCCTCTGGCAGGAAGGCAATGTCTATCACATCACCAATGAACTTACCCATTGTACATACTGTAGAACACGGAATGGGACTAGATTGTTTTAAGTTTAATCAGATGATGCCAATTTCAGTTGCTGTATATACGTGTGGTTTCTCTCTCTCTCTTTTTCTCTCTCTCTCTCCCTTCCTTCTTCCCTTCCCTTCCCTTCTCTTTTTTTACATGTGGTTTCTTTACTTCGGCAAATCCAACACTGTCACAGTACTCTGTACGCAGGTATTGATCTAACAAATGCTTTTTTCACTACCCACAAAGTAGAGGACACCAGAGGCTCCATGTGGCGGAGGAAGCAGTACACTTTCACCATGCTAGTGTTAAATCAGCTCTTCGTAATGATGTAATTTAGTCCTCGGGTCTCTGGGTGATCATCTCGCCCTCCCACAGCCCATCCCACACATCCACTACGTGGACTCTTTCATGGCTGCACACCCGTTACTTCTCCAAACTGTGGATTTACCCTAACAAACAACGAACAGCTCAAAGAGGGTTGGTATGTACGTGGCCTGGGTGTTTACCTCTGTTTGCTAGTCACTGGTTTTACACTCTCTTGGCTGTTATTTAAGTAGGTTTTAGGAAGGGGGTGGGGTAGGATTTCCCATTGTAAAGATTATAATACAGATAGGGAAAGTGGAAAAGGCTAGAATATTCTAGGTTAAAGGAAAAGCATCAGCTAAGCCCTCCCAACAGGAAAGCTTCTGGAGCATAGAGGGAAGAGAAAGATGTTTAGTTCAATGAAACAGGTACACATACTGTATGTATTGTATGTGTTATTTTCAGGGCCTTGAACAATATGTGAAGCTTATATTTCTAAGTTTTATGAAAACGTAATTTATAATTTAACTTATAGGATGACTGAACAATCTGTTCCCTAGGCCAATACAAAACCCTATTTAGCTCATAATAAAGTCACACTATGAATTAATTCCTCACTTAAACTGTTTTTTAAAAATAAATTTTATTTTCAAAGGAAAATATGTGCAATTACTGGGATATTGGGACAATTCAAAATAAATGTTCAATTATGCTGAAAATTATACTTTCTAATCTCATTTTTTTCACATACCATTTCATGAGCATTTCAACAGGATGTGAACAATCCTGCAGCTTCCCGGTTAATGGGCTGGATGCGTAGTGTTCCATTGTATGGATATAAGCGCATTTAACCAAAGCGTTACTATTGGAAACTTAGGTCAGTCCCAGCTTGTTGTTGCTGTAGTAAGTAATGATGTGTTGAACATTCTTATGTGTAACCTTTCTGCACCTATCGGATTATTGCCTCACTATAAATTTCTCTAAATGGAATTTCTTGGTCAAAGGATGAAAACCACTTAGGGCTGCCTGAATGGCTCAGTCGGTTAAGCGTCTGACTTGGGCTCAGGTCATTTTCTCAGAGTTTATGAGTTCGAGCCCCGCCTCAGGCTCTGTGCTGACAGCGCAGAGTCTGGAGCCTGCTTGGAATTCTGAGTCCCAATCTCTCTGCTCTTCCCCTACTCACACTCTGTCTCTCTCTCAAAAAAATGCAGTTTTAAAAAATTTTAAAAAAGGATGAAAACCATTTAAAGAATTTTCATGTACACTTCCAAATTTCCCTTCTAATTATAGACTCTCTCCAGCTGTGAATGACAATACCTGCCCCCCTGACTTTAACAACTAGGTAGAGTGGGTTTTCAAAATTCTTTACCAGTTTGATACGTGGGAAATTGTACCTTATTTTAAACTTTTGAATTGTGCTGATGAATAGGGAGGATAAACACGTTCTTGGAGGTGTATTTGTCACTTCCCCCCTTTTTCAATGATTTGCTTTTCCATGTAAGAATGGATGTTAAGTTCCCTAAAGTTAGGCAACTTTTTTTTTTTAATGTGTTCTGTTTGCTGCTATATCCTCAGCACTTAGCTGGAACAACAGGATTTTACTCAAGTTTCTTTGAATGAATATACTTTCTAATGGGGCGCTAATCTTATAAAACATGTGATTTGCACAATCTGCAATTGAAATGATATTAATTCTTCATCCGGCAAATAATCACCTAATTTGCCACTTCTTTTTTAGTTTTGTTTATGGTACGTTTTGTCAAAAGGAATCTCTAAAACCAATATGATTTAATATTTGGCAGATAAAGTCCCCTTTTCTCTTTTTAAAAAAGTCTTCATTTAGATAACTTGATTTTCAAGTTAAAAAAAATCCTATTGGCATTCTCATTAGGTTTTGTGCAATAAATAAATAAATTAGGGAAATATCTTTATAATAAGAAATATTTCTATCCAGAAACACGTGTTCATTGAAATAAAGTTTATGTACCTCACTTAAATTTTGTAGTTGTCTTTACTATGTAGAGTCTGAACACTTCTTTTTATCTTTATTTCTAAACTTTTTTGTTGTTATTTGAAGGAGATCCTTCTCCACTAGATTTTCTAAAGTGCCGATTGATACAAAAGCGGTTAATTTTTATGTGTGGAGTCTGGAGTAGTAGTCATTATACTGAATTCCACTGGTTATAATAACCCTTTAGGCAATTATACGATCATCCAAGTAAAGACAGTTTTGTCTTGTTTCCAAAGTTATATATTCTATTTGTTTTTCTTATTACATTACATTGGCTAGAGCTCTCAGAAAAATGTTACGTTATAGTAGTGACAACCGACTTCCTTGTTTCTCATTTCAATGGTGGCTCCTTTAGTGCTGAGCATAAAACCAACTGTTGATTTTGAAGAGGGGTGAGTGTGTATATATTGAATTTATCAACTGCCTTTTCAAATTTTATCAACCACATCTATTTTTTCTCCTTTAGCCATTTAGTGAATTATATGAATTCTAAAAGGGAATCCTAATATTAAACCATGGTTCAGTCCTTGAATTCAGACAATCCAATACAGGCACACCTCATTTTATGGCCTTCTGCTTGATTATGCTTTGCTTTATTGCACTTCACAGACTTTTTTTTTTAACAAATTGAAGATTTGTGGAAACCCCGTGCGGAGCAAGTCTACTGGCACCATTTTTCCAATAGCATTTCCTCACTTTGTGTCTCTGTGTTTGGTAATTCTCCTAATATGTCAAACTTTTTCATCATTATTATATTTTATGGTGATCTGTGATCAGTGGTTATGACTCGCTAAAAGTTCAGACGGTGGCTAGCATTTTTTCAGCAATAAAATATTTTTAAACGAAGGTATGTACATTGCTTTTTTATACATAATGCTGTTGCACACTTAATAGTCCACAATATAGTGTACACATAACTTCTGTATGCACTGGGAAACCAAAAAATTCGTCTGACTTACTTTATTGCCATGTCGGCTTTACTGCAGTGAGTTAGAACCAAACCTGCAATATCTCTGAGGTATGCCTGCATAGAAGTTAGCCTCAAAATGCATTGTGATGTACATCTGCAGTAGACTTGTCTTCCTAAATATTTTCACTCTATGTTAATATTCGTGTTCTTCTGAGCACATCCTAACTCAGATGGGGCAAGGGGTAGCCAGCAGACACATTTGGTAGCAAGACGAGTGTGTTTCAGATTTGAAATCTGCCACCGTTAATCCCACGTACAATGAAACTGAATGGCCGCAAGAGCCTCCATTTCTGTGTCACTTACCCTTTGGGGTTTCTTTCCAGCTCGTTTAAAAGTGTGTGATCACAGTATTCAAAAACTAAATGCATTTTCCTTTTTCTCCTGAACACCTCAATGAGGTTCACAAGGTTTGGGTGTTTTAATTGCTGCAAAGGAAGTGAGATACAAAGTTTGATGATTTGTTTCTTATAGTAGTTTTCTCCAGATCTCTTACAATCTGAACAACACCAGGCCTTGCTTTCCATTCCCAGTGTGTCTCTTGTGGATTGCTTTATTATGGTTACTCACAAGAGAAACTACTCTTGGTAAGAGTCATAGAAACTTGAGGTTGAAAAAGATAAGAAGACATTTTCCTTCTTCTTTAAAATAAATTATTTAAGAGTTTATTTAATGTACCTGTAGAGATGGTAATTAAACTGCTTGAATCTCTCTGGAGATGACAAATAAAGTACCCAGCTTAAAATATAGGCACTGATACCACAAATACTTGATGTAGTTTGTGATACTTTAGAAAATTCTAAATATCTAGGCCATAAAATAACCCGAATAAAAAGTGGAAGAAATGGAATTATGGAGTAAAAGGCTCTAAAAATTATTAACCCCCATTAAGTGTGCCTATTGTCATGGATTTAATGCAAAGGCTGCTGGGTTTAAATCCACTCTGGATTTTCGTGTTGGCTCTCAAAAACACTAGATTCCAACATTCACCTCTGATTAAGCTGCCTATTCTAAGAGTCCCCACGGTGTGTTTTTAATTTATTTATCATGTTTTCAGCTCTGTTCTCTGATTCTATTGTTCTCTCTTACGCTTAGATGTCTTATGTGCTGAGTTCCACCTCAAGCTGAAGGATTTCACAAGACAGCCTGTTAAATGCTGTGAACCAGAGGGAAAACTCTACTTGAGATAATTCATCATAGAGTAACTATATAACTTACTGTCCAACAAGCCTAAGCCAAGACTGTCCCAGGCACACAGGCAGATACGGTCACCCTGCGTACAGCTAGGGCCACCGTATACCTTAGCACACAAACCAGGAGGCTTTTGAGAGCTTGTTTGGAGGTTGTAGCAGGGGAATGGAGCTACTCGTACAACCTTGACCAAAGAGCTGCCCTCCTCTATCGGGGAAGGTCGTCCTCTTTGGCCAAGTGTGCAGCTTTGGACACACATGGAGCAATGAGGGAGGAAGGGAAAAACCGCCTAGCCAGCCAGAGGAGCCGAATCACCTTTGGCAATCAAGGGAATGACAGATGTTACAGCCAGATCACCCTCACACCCTAGGATGCTTTTGAAAGAGGGTGCTAACCAGATCAGACTCTGGGACACAAGCTATGAATCAGGACATCTGACCACTCCTACTTACATATAACTCATCTTCCCTATGGTTTTCCAGTATATAGATACATCACTTTCCAAACCCTCTACCACTTACTCAGGAAGATATATAGAGGGAATGCAGTACTGTGTACACAGTAGGAGCTGCATAAATACTTTGCAGGCCCAATAGTGATAGCATCCTCTACTTCAGTATCTGTAAGCATGGCTTGAGGGGAAAAAAAAATTGCCCTGCAACTATGTATCTGCTGCTCAACAGTTTGGGAAAAAGGACTCCATCACCTATTAAAAATATGTCCAGAGCACAAAATCCATTTGCCTTTGCCTAAAAGAGCAGAAAGGCAAACAGAGGAGGAAACAGGTCACACAGGTAAGCCAGCTGCTTTGCGCTACACTGAAAACCACAGGAGGGAAATGAAGCAGTGTCTCTACCGGGAGAGTAAGGGACTCACAGATGCCAACCTGGTTAGTCCCGGTTTGGGGCAGATAAGCAATTTATGTCCCCTTTGCAAATGAAATTAACTTGCCCAGAAAAACAGTGACATGTATAAGTAACACAGTTAATAAGGGGGACAAAAATCAGATCGCATTTAAATAACAGGAGGACAGAAGGAAGGTAAGGTAAGTTCATAATGGAAGGGAATTGTTCCCGGCGTGCGTGGGCGTCACGTACCTTTTCCAAAAGCAGGAAAGAGGTACATGGCGAGAACCACCATCAGAGACCAAGCTGAGGTGGAATCTGGCTACGTTTTACCTTCAAGTCCATTCTCAAATTGGGGGACTGTGACCCAGGAGGTCCTACGAACATTAACCTTACTTGCAGACATGGGGAGGCGTGAGGCAGTGGATCAAAATGCATTACTTTTATTAGAAAACAACCCACTGCCGAGGGGCAGACACACCCTGTAGCTTATCTCTGTGACGCAGCTGGCTGGCTGACCAGCGCCCTCTGCTGGCTGCGAGGCTACAGTGAACCGGTCTTTATGATGTACTTGAAAACTCAGTGTATATGAAATTATACTTTAAACTATTATTAGTTTGAGGAAGCCTGCTTCAAATAATACTTGGAAAGGGCAGATACTATGATAATCATCATCTCCCTTTAAAAAGCTGGTTTCTGGGGTTTTCCTAAAAAAAGAGGACACCTGTCAAAAGCGAAGATCGGGGGTGTATCCTTGAAGAAATAAATCACACTTCTGTTGTTCCAAGTGTGCTCTCTCTCTGTGCCATCAAGGAGTTTGCTGGAAATGGCGTATCTCAGGCTGACCACAGACCTTCAACTCAGCGTCTGCATTTTAACCAAGTCTGCCAGGGATTCCAATGCGCATTAACATTTAAGAGGTGCTGCCCTGTGCCTCAGTTTCCTCCCTGATGAGATGAGATGCTGGACGGGAAGTATCCCTAAGTTCTTTTATGGGTTGAAAACTGTCACATTCCTAGGACAGGAAAACATTTCCACTGAAGACTTATGAATCTTACATGTCAAGTCCTATCAGAGTGAAAACAACTTGAGGGGAAGTTGGTAAAGCACGTGACTTTACCTCCAGATACTAGTTTAAGCCACATGTTGGGGATAGAGCTTGCTTTAAAAACAAACAAACAAAACAAAACACAACTAACAAAATCTTTGGGGAATATGTGTATTCATAGCTGGGGGAGATGCTCAATAGGTCTAAGAACCAGTGGAGCGCACGAAGGACCGCGCCCTAGTGATGCCGCATGACAGTCCTACGGGCTCCCGTGCCGGGGATGCTCTCTTAGTTGCTGGCTCGTGGGGAGAAGGATTGGGTGGGGGGTGAGCAGAGAAATGCGGGGGCGGGGGAGGGTAAACACTGGGATGACGGGACTCAGGACAGTAGATATTAACCAAACAGAATGGAAGTTAATTCAGTAGCAGAGCCGCCAAAGTCCATACGTGCTAATCGACTTATTTTCCATAGTTGCTGATACCAAGAAATTTCAGTCCAACGAGAGAAACAGTTATTACTCTAAAATTCATTCGAATGGTAATTTGGGCATACATATTTCATCCGATACCAGGAGGTTAGAGATAAACAGAGAGAGTTAACCTACCTTCAACATCCGTATTTCTCTTAGTGCTATTTTCTTAATGACAGGATCATCTTCGGATTCCACAAATTTTTTAATAGCTACCACTTGTCCGGAGGTTTTGTTTCTGCATTTGAATACAACCCCGTAGGACCCCTCTCCAATCTTGGCTAGTTTCTCATACTTTTCCATTATGGCTGAGGTGACTTAAGTTACTGTGTTGACCGCCTTGCAGCACAATGGTGCACCTGGAAAATCAGATGAGTCAGCTTCATCAAGTTATCAAGGACAATGTTCTCAGTCTTTGACATAAAACCAATTTACTCAGGATGCCAGAGATTTGTTTCCATCAATTAATTTTAAATACACCTAGGAAGAGTTGACCATTCTTTTGGTAGTTTAGTTCAGTCTTAATGTGGCTCTTTGAGCTACTGGAAAGATTTCATATATGTCTTTATTTTAAATTTTTTATTAAAAAGTTTCTAACGTTTATTTATTTTTGAGAGAGAGAGAGAGAGAGAGAGAGAGAGAGAGAGAGCTTGAGTGGGGAAGGGCAGAGAGAGAGGGAGACACAGAAAAATTTGAAGCAGGCTCCAGGCTCCAAGCTGTCAGCACACAGCTGGGCGTGGGGCTCGAACTCAAAAACCATGAGATCGCGACCTGTACTGAAGTTAGAAGCTCAATCCACTGAGCCACCCAGGTGCTCTGATTTTTTAAAGTTTTTTAAAATGTTATTTTTGAGAGAGAGAGAGAGAGAGAGAGAGAGAGAGAGATGTGGGGTGGGGCCAAAGAGAGATGGAGACAGAGGAACTGAAGTGGGCTCTGCACAGGCAGACAGCAGACAGCCCAATGCAGGACTAGAACTCATGAACTGTGAGATCATGATCTGAGCGGAAGTCGGACATTAACTGACTGAGCCACCCAGGCGCCCCAAAACTTCATATGTTTCTTATAATGGGTCTGCATTTACTTCAGTTGAATTAAGGAATTTGTGGAAAGGAATCTTATTAAGTCTATTTTCATGATCCTCAAGTAAATGATTAAAATATGATGCTGTAAAATCCAGCTGAAGGAACATTTTATACTCTTGAATACATTGTTTCTCTTTTCTCTGCTCACCCATTTGACTAGAGGGCTAGGAAGAACTGAGAAGAGACATGGTACAAAGTGCTAGACTTCCACCTGGTGGACAGAGGAAAGAGCAGAGGTGGACTGTTAAATAAAGCAGCCATTAAAAACAGTGACAAAATCTTTCCAGCTCTTAGCTTTTATATGTATGAAGGAAGAGATCCTTAAATTCTTAGCTCCCAAAGAAAATAAGAAGCAGGAAAAAGAAGACAGATTTCTCTGATTTTTCATGAATGCTTTCATTTCCATAATGATTTCCATGGAAATATTTAATTTGTTGGCCCTGCAGCACCCATTTGTGAATTTTGTGGTGACTGGATTATGTGTTAAGTAAAAATAAGGCCACCATAATTAAGTAACTTAGTGTAGGAATTAAAAGTGTAAAAATTCACCTAAGTCTCAAAAATCCCACCCCACTTTATCCAGCAGAATCTTAATATAATCTAATAGTGATAAGAGCTAGCACTTAAATAACAGTGTCCTAAGAAAATTACATATACTTTGCACAGCCATTCTATGAAGTAAGTGCTATTTTTACCCGATTATATGGATGAGAAAACTGAGGCAACGTGAAGCTAGAACGCTGAATTAGATAGAACCCAGGGGGTCACACTCTAGAGATCAAGTTCAATGACGAGGCTATGCCACCTCTCGGTTAATTCAAAAGCATGCACAGTTTGGAGAACCATCTTATCCAGGTCTTAGTATTAATACACTGTCAAGTAAAAGAGGTGACCACTTTTTCGATTTCTCATGTCAAATAAGTTTCCTTCCTTCCTTCCTTCCTTCCTTCCTTCCTTCCTTCCTTCCTTCCTTCTTTCTTTCTTTTCTTTCTTTCTTTCTTTCTTTCTTTCTTTCTTTCTTTCTTTCTTTCTTTCTTTCTTTCTTTCCTTCTCTCTCTCTCTCTCTCTCTCTCTCTCTCTCTCTTTCTTTCTTTCACTTCACTAACATCTTTTCCACCCACAGTTGTCTCAGTGGAGAAAGAAATCATCTCCTCTCACTCATCCCCATAGAAATACACACCTGGGGAAATGTTTACCTGGGGAAATGACTATTACTGAACTATTTTACAATGCTTTAACTTTTTTGGTAGATTCTATTCTCTTTCTTCTTAAAGGGAGAAAACTGAAGCATACACACTTAAATAACACATGGAAAATTCATCACCGATTACGTTCTGAAAACTCTATCAGTTATACTGTATTTTAATATAGATATTATCTAAAATATGTTCAGATATAGCATGCATAGATTTGTTCTTTAGCCTAGTTATAGGTGACAGAAAAGAAAACAGTAGAAACTAGGAATTTGCTTTGGAAAGTTATTAGTATAGATCTTTGTGGATTTGTGAACTTAACCTACTTGATAAGCCCTATGGTTACTAGAAGAAAATACGAATACGCCAAAAAGCTTACATATGATGGTTTAAGTCTATGTATTATGTTATTTCCCACTAGTCAGATATTTTGATCTATTGATCTATGATTTATTTTTCTAACTGGTTCGATAATGTTTGAGCTCTCAGACTAATATTTAAATTTCTCAGTCACATCAACCAAACTTCTGAATATGATAAAATAAAATACCAAAAAAAACCCACAAAAAACCCCAGTACTTTACCTGGTGACCTCTCAATGGTATGTGCTTTTTTTTTTTTTAATGTTTTATTTATTTCTAGGAGAGAGAGAGAGAGAGACAGCGTGAGCAGGGGAGGGTCAGAGAGAGAGGGAGTCACAGACTGAAACAGGCTCCAGGCTCTGAGCTGGCAGTCAGCACAGAGCCTGACGCGGGGCTCGAACCCACGAACCGCGAGATCATGACCTAAGCAAAAGTCGGATGCTTAACCGACTAAGCCACCCAGGTGCCCCAATGGTATGTGCTTTCTAAAGTGCTTTTGTGTTCCTGGAGGATAGGTCTGAGCATGCGGACAGGAGTTAGACCACAACAGGAAATTCCTCAAGGGATTTATGGTTTTAATTCCAGCTTACTAGGACTCTACCAAAGTTTTAAAAAGCAGTAAGTTCTAATCTCTTATCTGAGGTACAGCCCAACTATCTGTTTGATGACTATCTCTACACAAATAGAATCGTTTCAAAATCGGTGTGTTCTAAACCAAACGCCTCCTTCCTTATCCTCTACCCTTACCCAAAGTTCACACACCTGCTCCACATTATACCTAAATGGTTTGTAAAGATGTATTTGGTGGGGAACTTTGAGGTAGCCAAGGGTGGGGATGGCTGCCTAACTCTAATCTCGTCACATGTCTTTCACAAAGCTGTAGAAAGCAACCAGAACAATAAAACCACATAACTGTTGGGGCGCCTGAGTGGCTCCGTCGGTTAAGTATCTGACTCTTGATTTTGGCTCAGGTCATGATCTCGCAGTTTGTGAGTTCAAGCCCTGCATCTGGCTCTGTGCTGACAGTGAAGAGCCTGCCTGGAATTCTGTCTTTCTCTCTCTCTGCCCCTACTCCACCTGCTCTCTCTCTCTCTCAAAATAAACTTTAAAACTTAAAAAAAAAAAAAAAACCCACACATAAATAAGATGCTTCCAACATAACAGGAAAGACAAGAGGAATTTAAAAACTGAAGTAGAAAAGTAAACTCCAAATTCTGGAAGAGATAGTTCTCAGGGTCCCACTAGAAGCCTTTGCAGAGAATGAATGCGGGAATGTGGTGGGGTTTGGACAAACTGTAAAGGAAAGAGAAGAGGAAATGAAGGGCCTGGGAGAGACTTAAAATCATCCCTTCCCTGCCCCACAAAGAGAAAATACATCACAAGTGCAAAAATACTGACAGTGTCTAGGTGGATCAGAGCAGTCACCAGAGGAAAGGGACTTAAAAGTTACGGATGTTGAGAAGGCATTAGTCAGTGTGACACTACTGGGGAAGAGAAGGGCAAGAGTGAAGGGAGAGGCTTCTCCAATCTTTGTCAGAGACTGAAGAGTGAAGGGTAAAAGAAGCAGGAGGGAAAATTTGTGCCCCTGCAAGACAAAAGAGAACCCAAAAACTGATGGGCGTGCAAATCTTCTCTTCACCACTAATTAAAAAAAAAAACTGCTACTCATTAAAGAAAGTGCTACTCAGTAAAGAAGTGCACTTTGGTACAGTGACAGAGAGGACTCTCTTGACCTACGATTGCTGTCAACTATTACAAGCCAAAACTTGCCCAGGAAATCAAATAGAGGAAAGTGGTCTCCATACAAACGTACTCTGGGAAGAAAACAGAAATGAGAATGGAACATTTCAGCTGATGAAAATCATGTCCAAAATACCTAACAATGAAGTTAACTAACTAAATACCTCACTAATGAAGAAAACTAACACAACACTCCAAACTAATTTAAATATCTCCAAACATTCATCTGGAGCTATGAAGAGCCACTTTGAATCAGAAATTCAAATAAGACCAGAAGTGAACAACAACAACAACAACAAAAAGACAGTTGACTGAACTCAGGAAAGAAAGACAAGAAAAAGAAAATCATCTCAGAAATAAAGGCTAAAGAACAAGACGGCAATCAGAGAATAGATCCCAACGAAAACTTAATAAAGAACATTTAAAAAAGAACAACAATCAAGAAAAAGTAAAAGAGTTTAGAGAGAAAGTGTTTGAAATGGAAGACGGGAAAAGACAACCCAACACATGTAATTAGAGTCTCTGAAGAAGAAAACAAAGTGGTGGAACAGAACCAATAGTTGAAAGTATAATCCATGAAAGTTTTCTGGCAGCGAAATAAGATCAGAGTATACATACCGAAAGGGCCCGTCAAGTAGTTGGGAAAACTGAATCTGAACAATCGACTCAGACATATTTGAAGAAAACTATCAAAGCAAGTACTCTCATAGCCTGTAGGGATAAGAGAATGAGAGTGACATCAGCCTTGTCTAGAGAACACAGGGCAACAGCGGCCTTTGCAAGAGATTCAAGAGAAGAAATTGAAAGCCAAGGATTTTACACTCAACCAAGCTGTCCTTCAAGTGGCAAATTCATAGATAAACAGTTTAAAATACACAAGCCCTCCAGGAACATTATATTCACGAGCCCTCTCAAAGGATCTACAAGAAGATAACTTTCACCCAGCCAAGAGCTGATTGGGAAAACTTCAGGAAGAGATTTG